ATCTATAACACGATCTATTGGCATTATAAAAAAAAATTGGAAATTTTATTTATACAATATCCATCTTACGTATATATATTATACCCATTATTAGAAAAAAAAATTTCAAAAGATCTATAACGATCTATTGGTATTATTAAAAAATAAATCAGAATTTTTATTTATACAATATCTGTCTTATGTATTATATGATTTATTGTTATTATTATTAGAAAAAATTTAGAAAAAATTTAGAAAAAAATTCTGAATGATTCTGTTATGTCTATAACGGTCTATTGGCATTATTAAAAAAAAAAAATAGAAAATTTTATTATACAATATTCATCTTATGTATTATACCCATTATTAGAAAAAAAAATTAAAAAAAAATTTCCAAAAGATCTATAGCAATCTATTGGCATTGTTAAAAAAATAAATCAGAAAATTCTATTAGAAAAAAAAAATTTAGAAAAAATTTCTGTTATATCTATTGATACTATTAGAAAATTTTATTTATACAATAACTGTCTTACGTATTATACCTATTATTAGAAAAAAAAAATTTTAAAGAAAAAATTTCTGAAAGATTTTATTATATTTATAACAATCAATTGGCGTTATTAAAAAATTTTTTGCAAATGTGATATATCACGTGACCGGTAATATGTAACAACTGGTGTAGAAATTCAATGATCATCCAGGGTAATGTTTGCATCCAGGGTAAATGTTCAAAAATCCCGGGTCATCCTGGATTTTTGAACAGTACGGCGTTTGTTAATCCAGGGTAGATCCTGGATACATCCCGGGTAGCTACCCTGGATACATCCAGGGTGGCCACCCGGGATTTTTGAACAGTATGGCGCATTATAGTTTAACAGGTCCCTCATATGGGTTTATATGGAGAAATCTATGACGATCATTTATTAATATCACGTGATGCCGAAATCGAACGAAAACTTAGTTTAATTGCAAAAAAAATTAATATTTCATTAACTACCTAATAAATTTTATTAAATTTGTATTCAAAAAGAATATAGTTAACCACTCCAATAATTTTAAAAAAAATTTTAATCACTTATTAATATTTCTAAATAATATATGTAAATAAATTTAAATAATTTTAAAAACTTAATATCTTCATAAATTTCTAACATACATAATTTTTACTTGACAGAATATTTTACTTTTTTCCTTTAATTTTATTATGAAATCACAATATTCTAATCATTACTTCACAAAATATTTGATATTTTATAGCGGATTCGCAACTTACCTTAGAGGATTCGCAGTTTCTCACAACTTTTAACTTGCTTTTTGGTTTAATTTTATGAGTAAACTGTGCCCAAACCATACTATTTGATAGACCTTAACTCTAAAAACCAAAGAGCAAAATTTTGTTTAAGTTTCATGGGTCAAAATTTTTTTTACTTGTAACGAGTCTAGATTTGACGATGGCATATCATACCCTTAAGGCAGCTTGATGAGTTAATTAGTAATATTCATATTAACATCATTGACATTTAACCTATATATACTATTTACATAAAAAGACCATTTTAGCCTGCATACAATATTACATAAAAATCCATGAAAAATGAATTGTTTTCTTTGGTAACATTTTCAGGAGCGTGTTTCACATAAAAAACGGTTGTTCTGGAACACTGTAATGCCGGAATTATCCAGTGAATTTATTAACTGTGGGGCGCAGTATTATATTTAGTTTAAAGTATTTTATTTACTGCGGTCCGGAATGACGTTAAACTATCACTTTGGGTTAAAGATCATGTTAAAGGTTACATCCGTAACGATGTAAAACTATTCTTGTGTTCACATTTAGGGATGGGAACTATGTTCAGGGTATTACTAATTAAGGAATTGAAATTGAAGATCCCGAAATTTATGAAAAGTGAAAAAACGACATTTCTGAAACTCTGATAATGAGAAGAAAAAGGTTCACTAAAAGTAAAATTGGAAAAAGTCAAAATCCAAAAACTTCAAAAAAGGGAGACGAAAAACACTTAGAATTAGTTTCAAGAATTTGTATATTGTTGTTACATTAAGTTCTATTTATTAATAATATGCTAATAATGTATATTTTGTTTATCATTTTAGTTAATTAATTTACTTTATATATTTCGAATATATATAATGATATTATGACTAAAATATTCGAAAAAAAAATATTTTGAATTGCGCAACAATTTTTGGTTAATAAAAAGAATTAAGAAATTTATAAAAGAATGATTTAGATTATCAACTAAAAGAGTAAAAATATGAAACGTCGAAATATTAAATTCTTTTTTTTTTTACATCTTAGAAATTTTCTAAAATTTATTATTATTACTATCTTAATGTATTAATTAATTGTGATACTCTTTTGCTCGGGTATTTGTATTCAATTCAACTCTCGAAGAATTTTTCAAAAACTACACGTTAAAGAAATAATTTCATTATGCAAGAAAATAATTCAAACTTTTATAATAAAAAAAAAGTTAACATCTAGAAAGCCATAAAAATTACCTGTATTTTGTAAAAGAAAATGTTAAAATCAAAAAATGCGGTAACTTTTTTCTCTTATCATTAATATTTTTTATTATAATTATTTTTTCGTTTCTTATTATTAGCGCTTGGCTAAACGCTTTTTCGATCCAATATTTTAACAGCTAGATAGTAAGACTTAAATCATGATTCTCTTTAATTTTGAAAGCAACTATTTTGTCGATAATTTCTTTCTGAATAGCTTTTAGTACGTAACTAGCTCATTTTAATATGTTCTAATACCCTTTTTTAATTGATTAATATCGCTTTCTGAAGATAAATGTCACACAAATCGATGCTAGTTATATTAAGCTCTAAACAAATCTTTTTTAATATCTAAAATTACTTGCTAACGAAACATTTGGAATAAATTACGAGCCGATTCATTTCCCAATTTCCTCAATCCTAAAAAAGTCCTTTTTTAAAAAATTCTTTACTTTTATCAGCTGATTTATAACAGCTAAAACTCTTGCAACCAATCATTGAACTGAAGATTTATGAGAACTTTGAACAATCGGATGCTCTACAGAAACTTTTATTCATCTCTTCGTACCAGATCAAAACAAATAATACAAACAACGAGGAAATCCTCTCTCATCACGAATGATTTCTCCTTTTATTATCAGTCACTACTTAAGATGAAGAACGACCAACCAGACTCGAAAAGAAACTATTTCAGCATCTTCCGTTATATATTTTTTTCTCCCCTACCTCTTTCTCCTTTATTAAAATCGTTAAATGCATTTTTAACACTCGTTAAAGCTCTTCAGTGTAAAACAGGTTAAATGAACGACCCATGATCATTAATTTGTTTGTTTAAACCTGTATTTTATATTAGAATACTTTAATTTAGATTAAACTTCTTTTTTACTTTTTTTAAAGTAAGTTGATTGATTAAGTGTGATCTCTGTTAAAAATCTTTTAACGCGAATCAATAATTTTGTCAGAAAATGCTAAATTTGGATTCTTTCTATTTGTGAGAATATTCGATAATGTAAATAGCCTCTGCAATACCCTATTCTATAATGGTTACTTGTTATTTAAAGTAAATAAGTGATTATTGAATTTTTATAAATAATTATTGTATAAATAAATTCTATTAGCATCATAAATTCCCAAGTCTCAGGATCTTTTAACATAAATACAGTACAATATTGTCACATTCAACAATTTATGGTATTTCTTGTATATATTCACTACTCATGTTTTGTGATCCATTTAACCTTTTTAAAGCGATCTTTTTAGGATCGGTTAAATTGTTGGTAGCTAACCGTTCCCTAATGTCATTTGATAAAAGAAAATTAAAATTAAAAAAAAATGAAATTATAAGTCATACACTTTGCTTTATCGAAATATGACTATGGTTAGTCAATTAATCAATAAGCGCAACATACACCCAGCCATGGAAGGTTCTTCAGATATTAGTAATTAGAGCTGAATGTTGTTACAAAAATCTTAAACATGCTTCAATACAACATCATTAATCCCATATATTTACTACGTTATGCCTAAATTTAAAAGGGAAGTTGACGTTAAGTTATCGTGACATCCCGCCGTGACTTGAGAATAATTATTATTCGTTAATACACGGAATTTGTTTTATATTTTCCGTAAACATGGAATTTTTCACAAAAAGTATGGGTTGTAACGAAAATATTCGGATTAGGGTTTGTATCCGTACGTTACCCGTTAAAAGACGGATATCTACAGATATTTGGATATTCGGATTGAACGGATACAAAATTTTGGATATCTGTTGGCAGTAATTCGGGTCAATCATATTAAAGCTGGCCAGAATAATTTAAAAAATTTTTCCTTTTCGGAAATTAATGTTACATAATAATAATACGAAAAAGGAGAGAAACGTCACATCGGCAACTTCCTACACTTTCGAATATTAATGTTCTCTTAAAAAGGATTTTTTTTTGTGGAACGGCTATTGCCAAAAAATGAAATGATCGACTTAGCGATTCATAGGCTCATAGATATTTGGTTATCCGGGGATGTCCGGGCAATATACGGGTCATCCGGAAATCGGATATCCGATGAACTCTAATTCTTGTAGGGGTAAAGTCTTGGCCAATCAGATCAACAATTAAGTTAAAAAAAAAAAATTAATTCTTTTAATTAAAAAACCATAATTACCATAATTAGTGAAAATATAATGAAACCATTTAACGTTCACGTGTAACAAAATTTGGCGTTATCTGTTACGGAGAAAAAATAACAAATTACGGAAAAAAGAAACATGTTATTGTACATGAAATGAAATAATTCGCCATCAATTTTTTTATAATTTCTTTCACATATAAGTAGTGATACAATCACAAATCTATTATCACTAAAATATGAATCTTATTATTGTAAAGCAAAATATTTTCTTTTTTTTTGTAATCATTAAAAAAAATTTTCTTATTATAAATTTACCACAATGGTTTATATTCCCCATTCACTAACGGCTTTTTATAAAATTATACTTCAATATGAAAATAGTATTAAATCGCCTTAGAGAAAAAAAAACTCTTGATCAAAATTACTTTAAGCCAAGGTATTATTTTGTAACGGAATGGTGTCTTGACATGCATGGTTATCTTGACAGGGAAGAATTAGAAGCTCGTCTTGAAGAAATCAATAGAATAGTCGCTGCAAACCCATTGCTTAGTGAAAGAGTAAAAAATGGTCTTTTATATGCTTTCGTCTTCCTTTTCCTTATTTTTGGTGGGTTTATTATTGGCCTTTCTATTCCTTCTTTTATATATGGTCAAAATGATGGTTATGTTACTCCCTCCGTGATGCAAGTTATCAATATTATCGCTTTCTTTGTGGGGAAATATTTTGTCAACCAAGCAGCAGAACGTCGCTCCTCACAATTTTCTGAAGCTATTAAAAAATTGTTCGATCAATATAACGCCAAAGATAACCCAACTGCCAATTGGAAACTTAAGTGGCGTAACGTTATCACTCATTATAACTTAGAAATACCATATTATTCATTTGAAAAAACGAGTTTTGATAGCAAGGGAAAGATAACGCCAAAGTATGCTGAGGAAGCAGAGATAGAGCTAGAAATAAATGACGCCCTCTCTGAAATCACCGAGTGTACCATCCGTTTGCACCTTTATAGAAATAATAAACTTAAAAGAATTACTAACCAACAAGAGGAACTTGAGAGACTTCTTGCATCAAACGAGGACTTGTCAATTATCATCGATGATAAGAAATTGCCTGAAATTCCTTTCAATTACGCACCCCGACCCAACAACACGCCCCTGCCTAACGACACGCCTCCATGTCACAATACTCCATATAATCCGCAGATGGGCTCTGCATATACGGTATAAACTTTTTCGTGATACGAAAATAATAATGTATTATTTTTCTCATTAAAATTTTTTTTTTTTGTTTATTTTATTTTTTTCTTTTTAGGGTCAAAATAACAATCAAAATTAATATTAAACGTCCCCAATATGTATAACCCGTTGCAACACACAGTCGATCCTGAAACTCATTACCCCGACACTTACTATCCCGATATATTATTACTTTTTTATAGTCGTAATATTATTGTAATACTTTGTAAAATTAATATGTAATGATTTTAAGGTATATCGCAAAAATTAAATAAAATTTATATATTTTTAATATTTAATTGAATCAATTGCAAAGGATTTGCAGACTGGCGTTAAATAAAAGTAAAAATTATATAAAAAAATTATTGTAAAAAACAAACTATTTGAAACTCTGGAATAAATATTATGTATTAAAATATGTTAGTGTTGAATGGATTCACATAAAAGAGAATGAAAATCGGGTATCAGAAAAAAATTAGTTATGATCGACATGCTAAAATCATATCAGATATACTAGTTTTACGGTAAATTAAGTCGGCCAATACTATGTTGTAGAATCCTGAGAGGACCCAGAAATATATATATAAAGGTCAGGTGGCGAAAATTTTTTTTACTATGAGCTGTACGCAGAGACTTTTTATATGAGTAGTACGCATAATTGACACCTGATATTGAAAATCCTGCAAAAATATGCAGACATTAAGTTATTAATTATTTTATCATGACTTTTATACCATTATTTATAAAACTAAATACTAATGTGAAAAATAGAATTTATTCTAATTTACTATTTTTTCAATAATATTTTCTAAATTTTCACTTTTTAACCCTTAGAAATTTCTTTCAATTAATACTAAATATTACAATGCGGTTAGTACATACAGTAAATATATTATATATATAAGATTAGTCAAATTTAGGCCAAAAATACGCAAACTAATTTTTTACATATAAAAATTTTGATAAAAATACGCAATCTTGATGACCTAACTATGGATGAAAAATTCTTAGATTGTACGCAAATCAAAACTTTACTCTGTCTAATTTCACTATGATGGCGACGCATCTGTGTACCCTACTCCTGTATATATATTTCTGGGTCCTATCCTGAGTTCCGTTTGACAAACTATTCGCAAGTAAGATTTGGTAGGTGAAAGCTCAACTTTCTTCATTTTTCCTTTACACTTTCTCTGTGCAGTAGCGTGCAGTTTTATAATATTTATGTTATCACAATTTTTTACGTGAATCAAAATAACTGTTGATATACTGTACGTTGACGTTACACATTTATTGAGATTTTTATATGTGCAGCAGTGGTTAAATTTCATTTACATAAATAAAGGTACTCTTTAAAGGTGTCTATAATAATAATTTAATCAAACAAATTAGATTTACCGCTTTATATACTTGGGATCAATCTCATTCGTGATTTATAATTTTTTTTGCTTAAATTTTGTGAAATATTACTCAAATGAAAACTAATACTAATTTAATGAGCTATGAATAAAAGGCTATTTTCGTGTGCAAATAAAAAAATAAAAAATTATATTTTTAAATAATATAAAGCAAGCAAAAAAACTGTAATTTATTTTTTCTATCTAATAAATTTAGAATAATAATAAAAATAATGTAAAATTAGAAAAAAGTTTCGGGATGAGTGTTTTGATTATGGTTTGTCAGGATTGATTGTTAATGTCGGTATTATATTGTATTATAACGTCGCGAAGAATTTTTCAAATGAAAACTACACGTTAAAGAAATAATTTCATTCTGCAAGAAAATAATTCAAACTTTATAATAAAAAAATAACAGTTAACATTTAGAGCCATAAAAATTACATGTATTTGTAAAAGAAAGTGTTAAAACCCAAAAATGCGATAACTTTTTTCTCTTTATCATTAACATTTTTGCTATTATTAGCGCTTGGCTAGCATTTTTAACACTCATTAAAGCTCGTTAGTGTAAACCCGTTAAATGAACGACCCCATTATCATTAATTTTGATTGTTTAAACTGTATTTTATATTAGAATACTTACTTTTTTTAAAATAAGTTGATTGATTAAGTGTGATCTCTGTTAAAAATCTTTTAACGCGAATCAATGATTTTGCTAAATTTGGATTCTTTACTATTTGTGAGAATATTCGATAATGTAAATATCCTAAAATGGTTACTTGTTATTTCTTTAATTAGTTGCGCAGCAATTATGTTATATTTTGTTCGCTTAAATATTGGATTTATCTTAAAATAATTATTACGTATTGTTACGCGAATTCTTGCGCATGTGATTTCCGATATTATATGATGATCCGATGAAATTTCGGTACATTTGTGTACACGTCGATTTCCGGTATTACGAGTCGAATTATGTCGATACATAGTTGCTGATTTGTGTATATCAGTTAACTATATTAAAGATATTGATTTTATATGATAAATTTACTTATATATCGTTTTTATATTTATTCAATTTATTCAATTTATTATTAATTATATTTATTTACTTTCTTTATTTGTATTATAAATATGTATACAATTTTATTAGAAGTTATTGTGTGGAAATTAATTCAATAGTATTAATTGTCCAAAAACTATTATTCGTGTTCTATTAAAAAGTGGCTTACAATAAAAGTTATCGCTATTGTAATATTGTGATGAAACATTAACAATAGATTAGATTCCGCCCTTAATCGTTAGAAAAAGGCCTCTGCCAACTCCATGATAGAGAGAGATTTTTTTGTACTAGTTGTTCTAGAGAACTTTCCCTTATCACCTTTATTCAGTATTCACTTCGTTGTAAAAACCCGAAATTCTACACCTATTAAATAAATTGTTATACTTCGGTTAATCTTATACGTTGTTTTTGTATATTCGCATAAGATTTGCTTATATTCATCGCGTATTATTACTAATCGTATTTTATAGTTGTTTACCTGGATGATTCTTAACGAACAATACCGGAAATACCAGGATAGGTAGTATTGAGTAAGAATTCCATCGGTATTCGTGTATTTATACGATATAAATCATCTATAATACGTCTCTTAATTACCGTCGATATCGGTAACAGTATACATATTTTATTTATTAAATCCCATTTTTTCTTATTTGTGTAATAGTTCACATAAAGTATCTCTTTACCTTTAATAAAAAAAAAATTTAAATTTTTAAATTTTTAATTTTTAATTTTTAAAATATTTAGACTGTTATTTGGTTTAAATCATCCAATAATAATATTATCGGTTTGACGGGACCGTTTCATGCAATCTTTATAATAAGCTCTCGTTACTATCCAATAATTTTATTATTATGCTAATAACCCTAAATAACAAGTAATTGTTACTATCAGTCATGTTGTAGATGATAACTGATAATAAAGTTATTGGATATGTATGTCGTAAGCAACTGAGACCTTTTTCGTGTATCTTATTTATTATTTTATAATAAAGCGATCAAAATTTTGTATATCACTAATTATAAAGTGACCAAAATTTGTTACTGAGATCAGATACACCGGGAAAAATGGATTAGTAAATTTGAATAAGATATGGACGATGAAATTAAGTATAAGGCAATGGAAAAACAGAATTTTTTAATAAAACAATAGAAAAATGTGTTGGAATTAGATAAAAATTATAATACAGTTTGGTATAGTGTAAATAGTGATGCCGACTTAACTGAAACCAAATGTTAAAATTTTTTTAACATTTTTGATATTAGTTTTACAATTGTTTCAAGCCATAATAAAGTTTATCACTACGAAAAGAGTCTACTGTATGCAGATCCTTAGTGAATAAAAATATAGATATCAATCACTGCGCATGTAATAAAATTTAAGGGCAAATTTTTCTTATTATGATAGCCATATTAAAAATTATGGTGCCGTATAGTTATTAATTATATAATTTATGTATGTAGATCAAAATCGGCTAAAATAAATTTTATTGGTTAAAATTGAATCCATAATTCTGGCCAAATTTTGCTTAATTCCGGCCAATTTTATAATGCCGGCCTAAATTTTATAAAAATTGAAAATGGCAGTTCAAATGTAACATCACATTTATATAAAATAACTTTCAAACTAAATATAGAAAATAATACTTCTTGACAACATCTAAGAGTGTGTTGAAAAATTTCTTCAAATACTTTTTGTTTTTTAAGGTGGATCTTAACTAGAAGTTGGTACATTTTATTTGCTAAAAATAAGGAATAATGAGAAAACCTTGAAATTTGTCAAATAT